CTATCTAGCTGGCAATACTCATCTACCCATGGTTTAGCCAGCTGCCCCCCCCACCCTTATGGCCACTTTTATCCCAGTCCCCCTCCAAAGGGGTTAACAACACAGCATCCATAAGGGCTAAAGTAACCACAGAGTGATTATCTATCTATCTATCCATCTATCCATCTATCCATCTATCCATCTATCCATCTATCCATCTATCCATCTATCTATATCCTGCACAAATCTTACAAAGATACTAAAACATCCCAGAGCAATAATGGCACCAGACCCACCCACCCCCAAACTCCTCAGGAAAAGCTCTGTTTTCAATTTTTTCCCCAGAAGACAGACAATCCTCCTCATGGAAAAACAATGCTTCCAAGTTTAGGTTCCCTTAACCTTCTGGAAATGGGACACAACCAGCTGTTTCTCCCAGCACAATCAAAATAGTTGGACCAATTCTGGTGGTGGGGGTGGGGGTGGGGATTCAGCCAAGCCATATTCTTTTTTTTTTTATTTACTAGCCAAAACTGAAGAATTTGAATCAGAGTTTGAATTTTGAATGAAAGTATCCAGGTTCTCACCATATTTCAACCACAGGACTCCACTTTTTAAAAAACAAAGTTGAAATCTGAACAGATGAATGTATCTTAGAACATTCCCAAGTTCCTGCCTGAAATCTTGTGTTATTCTGAGCATTCCCACATAGAAGTCTTACAAGATCTCAAGAGCCTGACTGCTAAAGCTCAACCATTTAAAATAAATAAATAAAATTATTTTTGTATTCATTGCTTGGAAAGAAAATGCTGGTTCCACTCATAACAGTTACTCCTTAATCCAAGAAACCTGCTGGATGGATGCTTCAGGCCACCTTAGATGGAGAGGAACAGTCCTTTCCATCAGTTGACCATTTCATTATCGATACAATGTGGGCATGGTGTTTACCACTTATGATGGAGATACACCAGCAAAACTTACCTACACAGTTGAAAGATAATTCCTGCTGGCAAAAGAGGGAGCAACCATCACGATTCACTTTGTTCATATCATCACACTCTTCCCCAAGGTCTCTGCCAAGAGCAACAACAATTACCACAATCAGATTATTAAAATAAATGTTAAAGGATGGGAGGATCTGGAGAGAAGAACTTTAAACCTTAAGAGGTTAAGCCAACTTCTTCCTTACTTTTTTTTTTCTTTGCTTTTCTACAAGATGGACAGGAAAGAGAAAAGGGGAAGGTTTGTTGGAAACAATAGAACAGCAAGCAGACAATTTTGAATACATTTTGGACTACATAAAAAACCCTGTAAACTCCATCAGTGAGACTTGTTAAGAAGGGTACATTCAAAACAATGTAAATGCTGTCAACCCTTAATTGTGTTTTTGAACTGATTTTATGGTTTTCTCTTATACCCCTTTCCACCATTTGCAGCCTCCTTGCATGACCACACTTTCCAATCAGAAAACATTCTATGGAAAAATTCCTGGTTTCTTAGTATGAAAGCATGGGAAGCCAGGGAAACCGCAGACTATTGAAAAGAAGATGAATATGAAATGGAATACAGAATATTCACACACAGCACTCTTTCATCTCATTGATAAATTGATGCTTTGGTACATCATGCTTGTTCTATTACTCAATTAGATCATTTTCTGAGTCCACATCATGCTGAATCATACACTCACAAACAAGGCTGGGTTTACACACTAGCTAAGCCACAGAAACACTAACCAAGGTTAAAGCTAACCAAGCTTAGCCAAAGCCATTAGGGTTTCAATTGAGCTGGTTAAGCAGTCAGTGAATGCCAGAAATTTGCTTTGTTTGTTTGTCTTGTTCTGGTAGGAAATAAATTTGGAAAGCAAATTCTCTTTCATCAGAAGCAACAGGAATTGGTAGGCCAAGAGAAAAAGAAAGAATTTACCATACCTCACTAACATTAAGCCTTTTGACAGATGCAACTGTCCTTAACTTCAAACAATAAAAACAATAATAACAGCAAAAATCCCCTATAAAAACCAACCACAACCCCTTCTTTATTGTCAGGACATCATCATCATTCATTGCTCTTTTCTGCATTATCCCCCTGTGAAAAATGGCAAGCACCATGTCATTTTGAACACGGATTTCCACAAGCAAGTCCATCACGATCTCTGCCAAACAGCCTTCCACCAAAAAGTAAAAATAATCATACAGCCTTTTCCATGAGAGATAAAAATCAGGTTGGGCTCAAACTTTCTCACCGAAAACAATGGGATTTCATTTTTTTTTTTAAATACTGGATTTGAACAAATCCTTGACGTGCATGGAACCCAACAGCTTTAGATACAGCAGAAGAGGTGGCCCAAAGAATCATCTGTACTTACTTCTGAATAATCCCATCACCACAGTAGCCTTTTCCATGGGTGTATGACAGAGAGGGAGAAGGCTCACTTTCTTCTTCCCCAGAAAGAACAGAAACCCAGTAATGGTATGACGTGCCATCCTTCAGCTCACTGCAGATCAAGAAAAAGGAGATGTCAGCTGGACAATGAGCCCCTTAGAACCTGGGCATGATGTCCACTTTCTTGGAAAACCATATTTCCAAGATGCAGCAACGCTACATGGGAGACCAGTAGGCTTAGTACACAGCATGGACTTTCATGTATATGTGCATCACTGCTCATGTACCTTAGAAATAATGGATGGAGAATAGCACAATTCTTTTCTGTGCAGGCTTTCCAACTGGATGCAAAAGCATGTTGAATGCAAAGCAAGACCACAGTTGCTGAGGGGTCTTTCCAATTATCCTGAGCCTTCTGCCAGTGTTTTGCAAGCAATGACATTTAAAGGTTGTTTAAGAGAAACTGACTTAAGGCAAGGAAACATCCTTTTCTTTCTTTTTTCTCCCAACTTTGGTGAATGAGAGTGGCTGTCTTCTAAATGAAACCCAGATTGCAGGGTTGTGCAAAAATTAGCAAAATCATCCTCCCCATAAAGTGTGGTTTTGAATGTTACTGAGTTGTTTTGATTATTTCCAATGAAAGGGTTTCACTGTCTAAAGCTGCAAGGTTCTGCCATTGTTTTATTTGCTATAGAGATGAAAATGTAATTTATTCCTGTCTTACCCTAATAAGGTCATTTGTTTTATTCACAGGAGTACTAATTCATTTTATTAGAAATGGGGTGATTGCAATATTTGGGGCTCCTGGTTTGTAAGGTTGCCCCATTTACCTTTTAAGGTTCTACAAGTGATTCCAAACCCACCCAGAAGACTCTTTTTCCTTATTTAAGTATTAAAGCTTGTAGCAACCCAGTGTACACCCACCTTTTTGTTTATTCCAAGATTAAAAACAACTTACAACAATAAACAAGACGGAACATAAACCATAACAAAATAATTTCAAATTACTACTTAAATTAAAACCAATAATTAAAATAATTAAAAACTTAGGGAAAGAAGCATGTTTTTACCATCTTCCTAAATACCAGGGATATGAGAGCCTCAGGGAACAAAATTGAAATATCCCCAAACCCTAGAAGCTCCATGTAGAAAGGACATTATCAGTAGTAGCAGAACTACTATTGGTGTAACTACTATTGCTATTAGCATTATGATGACTATCATTTGTGTCAATGGAAGGCTGAACTCCCCCACCACCCCCACCCCACATTTTTGGTTTGAGAGGAAGGGAGGGAGGGGAGGGAGGGACAGAGTGTGTTTGGATTATAAATGGAAATATATTTAAGCCAGCCTGAAGTGAGCATTTATTGCTAATTTTAAATTACAGTTACCAAGCTGCTGGGTGTTTACATTTTAAAATTAACTCACAATATCTGTGCCTCATCTTCTTCATGAAGAAGATATGCAGCATGAAGTAATAAGATTCTGGATTCTCTCGTAAAGGAAAGGAAAGGAAAGGAAAGGAAAGGAAAGGAAAGGAAAGAAAAGAAAAGAAAAGAAAAGAAAAGAAAAGAAAAGAAAAGAAAAGAAATCATATCATGAGTGGCCTGAAGGCAAACATATAAACATTAAAAAAAAAAAAATCCAATAGGGACTCAAAGATCCTGAGCATATGTCAAAGGGATAGCAAAATGTTTTTTGAGTGTGAGTTTCTCAAGGCAAGGGCATCTCTTCTTGACCTTTAGCATGCCAGACCTTCAGAGTAGGCCAGATGAAGACACCAACAGTGCAGGGATTCCAGGAATGTTGCATAATATGATGATGATGATGATGATGATGATGATGATGATGATGATGATTGGATAGTGGACATTGCAATACCTGGAGACAGCAGAATAGAAGAGAAAGAACTGGAGAAAATTACAAAATATAAAGACCTGCAAATATAAGTAGAATATCTGTTGCAAAAGAAAGCAAAGATAGGACCAATCGTTATAGGTGCCTTGAGTGT